ACAACATGCATAAAAACAAGACAGAGCAAAACCAAGCAACAATGTACAACAAAACAGCAATAACATCAATCCACTGACGAAGAACAAATTAAAATATACCAAGAAAGAAAAGCTTGTGTTTTCCCATGTAGCCTGTTGGGGCACCATGCCCTGTCTCTAATGTGCACCCTCATCATTCCCTGGGGATCTTGCTACTCCCCTCCCCTGCTGTTCCGGATTCTGCATCTCTTAAACGCAAGTTCTGATGCCAATTTTATAGAAGAGTCTAAAAAATAAATAACATTTTAGAAATATTAAATAAATAAATAATTTAATATGTCAAGCTGCCTCATATTACTCAGTCGATTTTTGGATGTAGTATAACTCAAAACCTCACAAGTTCAACTCCCACTTCTACTGTGCTTTTTCTACTCCTCGTCTCTATGGTTTTCACAGGAGCAGTCGTCGGCTCTGCACATGGACCACAGCAATGTCTGCAAAGGCAAGTCTGACTGCAGACAGACTCTGCTACTAATTCTGCCTTGACTCTCCTCCAATTTCAGAGTCGTCCTTCCTTAGGCAAAATATACAGCTGTGTGTTACATGGCTGCTGCCTACCTCTCCACACTCATGCTTCACTTTCCATTCCTTGTTTTCATTGTTCATCAGTTATTAATTATTATGTGTAATTTCCATTGCACACCTTGTGCTTTTAATAATCCTAGCATTACTCCCCTCCTGTCTCCTCCTTCAAAGCTCAGTGTGACCATCATCTCCCTGTGAACCTTCACTAAAATTCTCCAGGAAAAGCAACGACATTATGATCCATTTCAGTAGGATTGCAGTGCTGAGATAAGCACGCATTTAGCGTCTGTTACCTTACGTAGAATGTAAGATACTTGCAAAAAGGGAAAATGTCTACTTATTTCTTCGTGAACAGACTATAATGTAATGCTAAATAAGAGTTCTGTGAGTGACTATGTGAACAAATAGTTGAAAGATATTAACAGGCACGTTAATGCAGTGAAGCAAGGAAGGCTGTTGAGAGAAGGAGGTTGCAGGAATGAGAGCCAGCACCGGGGAAGACAGACTAGAGAAAGAAGACATTTTCATGTAGTCAGAATCAGTCTCTAGAACCAGGGACTCTAACTTATCAGGACTTTATCCATTAAACTTGCTTTTATTTGTTATACCTGTTGATACGCCTACAGATACTACCAATAAGAGAGGGCCATCATGCATCACCAATCTCCAGGCACCTGAGATGATTTTGTACCTCATCCAGAGAAGACTTCACAGGTGCTGGTTCTCCCATGTTCCACTGCTAACGTTAGAGGTTGTGCCCCCAGGAATAATGTGGAGGTGAACCCACTCCTGAGGCTTCTAGAAGGTACAATGTGTTTTCTCATCACCTTAGATGAATCAAGTAGATCTGGGTCAGTGTAGAGGAAATATTTACAATCCTTTGGCTCTAGTGGATGAAATCCCTTGTGCCTCATTAATGAAGTATTCTTTTGTCTTACATTCCCAGGGAATTTGATTTCTCTGGAGCTAAGGGAAGAAAAATGAAACTTTTTCCAGTCTGTCCTTTGGGAGACAAGGTGCATCTTCGTGTACAGCTTTATCCCATTGGATTACTTCTAAGAAGGAGGTCACCTCTATTTTGGTGGTCTCCAGCATGCAGGGTCACGTCTAATGATCACTCTGAGGTGCATTTCCTTCTCCAAAGACCTAATAATACAGCTGGACATCATTTATCAAGATGCCAGCATTTTATGAAGACTTCTGATCACACACAGCCCCACCACAACACTCAGTATTTTACCATGTTTTAAATTTCAATTAATTGACAATAGACCCCAAGTAAACGGAATGCCATCCATGTAGGTAGTGTATTGGGAGATAGGATGATAGGGTATTCTCAGTGAGAGCCTACACCTCTACAGGCCATAATAGATAAAAAGCCTAAATGAAATTATGAACTAGCCATATATATTAAAATGGAAACATGAAAAAGTCTTGTTCACTCAAGGTATCAGGAAATTTGGCATTCTTCTGGTTACAGTGCTAGACCAGTAACCAAGGGTAGGGAGTTCAAAACCACTACCTGAACCCTGGTTGAAAAAATAGGACAGTCTGTTCTCTAAAGATGTACAACACCAGAAACCCCATGAGGCAGTTCTACTCAGTCCTATCAGTTGACTGTGAGGTGGCCTCCATGACAGTGGGTTTTGGATCAAGTCTACACTTTTCACTGGAGGAATAGAGTGGTGACACTCGCCATTCCTGTACAGCCAACTCCCTACCACTGCTCTCAAGTGATTCTGACTCACTGAAGGGCCTCACTGAAGGGCCTCATAGGGTTGACAAAGCTGTAAATCTTAATGGGAACGTATTGTCTCATCTTTCTCCCGCGGAGCAATGGATAGTTTTGAAAAAACAGCCTTTCAATTATTAGGTCCAAAAGTAACTCAATAGAGCTACTTTCAGTGCTGCAGAGAAAATAAAAGACACTATCAGGATCATGAAAACCAATTGTTTCATATGTAATTACTAAGATGCTGACCAGATTACAGGGAGAGACTCAAGGGCAAAAGTGAAGCAGATGCTATGGTGCTGCCAATGTTGTAGTCAAGCATGATTGGAGATAATTGGGTTGATTGGGAAAAATAAAGGCAAATTTCCAGTATTATCATTGAGGCCACAGAGGGTATGCATGCATTTGCTAGCAGTGCCTTGAAACTATGAGTCTTGAACCCACAGTGACAACAAAATCTCCTCCTATTTGTATGGCAGGAAAACCATCATGTTCAGGGAGTGAATAATTTCAGTCTTCTTGATTCTACCATTTTTCTAACAATGGAAGAGCTATCAACGTGCTTAGCTGGTATGGCGTTCAGTGTGGTTCTGGAAGTCATTTCCAATACTTGTACACACCACCAGTGCTTTTTCACCATTTAATATGAACATGTTTACAAATTTATGCTCACAATATTTAACAGGACCTCAGGAAGTACCCAGGTGGGATGAATGTGTCATGCCCCATCTGATCACAAGAAAGAAGTTTTCCAAAATAGGAATCTTAGAATTTATGTATCAGTTTTATAGGCTTTCAGGATAATAATGAGCACTGATTCTTTGAGATAATTGTATGCTAATACTCTGTGGTTAGTAATGAAAAGTCTGTTTCATATAAAAATCCAAAGTCACCCTTAAAGAATTGCCTGTTGAAAGGAAGATTTTGTTGAGGAAAACACATTTTTAAAAGAATACAACAGAAGTCATTTCATATTATGTCCTAAAAGTCCTAAATTTCTGGACATAAGCACATTTAGGTACCGAAAAAAGAATAATACAAGTTTAATAATTTTGAATTTTTTCTTCTCACAAGTAGCTCTCTGAATTTCAGGATGAGTTTCTGTTATATAGGATGTTTTCTCAGGTGAAAAGTTTTCTTAGGGCTTGCTTTATGTCTTTGTTTCTAAGACTGTAGATAAATGGATTCAGCATGGGGGTGACTACAGTGTACATTACTGAGGCGATTGCACTGGCCCTGGAGTTTTCAATAACTGCAGAACCAAGAAAAACCCCAAGACCTGTGCCATAGAACAAGGAGACCACAGAGAGGTGAGACCCACAAGTGGAAAAGGCTTTATATTTTCCCCCAGCTGATGAAATTTTCAAAATGGAGGACACAATCTTCATGTAGGAGAAAAGGATTCCAGTGAGTGGAACTACACCCAGGAGTCCAGTTGTTAAATGAAGGGCTAAGTCATTGAGGAACGTGTCAGAACAAGCAAGTTGGACGACCTGGTTGACTTCACAGAAAAAATGGGAGATTTCCAATTCTGTACAAAAAGTCAGTCGCAAAACCATTAAAGTTTGTAAAAGAGAGTCCAGAAAAGTCAACAACCAGCAGGCCAGAAGCAGGAGGCCACAGGATCTTGGGTTCATGATGACAGTATAATGCAGTGGGTGACAGATGGCCATAAACCGGTCATAGGCCATCACTGTCAGTAGTAAGTTGTCTAAGCACCCAAAAAGAATGAAAAAATGCATCTGGGTGACGCACTCTTCATAAGTAATTACTTGGTTCTGCATCTGGATGTTCAGTAGCATCCTTGGGACCGTGGTGGAAGTGAAACAGATGTCAGCAAAGGAGAGGTTGGAGAGGAAGAAGTACATGGGTGTGTGGAGGTGGGAGTCTGTGGTGATGGCCAGGATGATGAGCAGGTTCCCAGTGAAGGTGACCAGGTACATGGAGAGGAACAGTCCAAAGAGGAGGGGCTGCAGCTCTGCCTCTTCAGAAAAACCCAGAAGGATGAATTCTGGACTCTCAGTGTGGTTTCCTGGTTCCATGTAGCTGATGAAACAACTTAGAGAGAGAAAAAAGGCTTTTGCCAACTGTGCCATGAGCGGTTAAGAACACTCTAGTTTATATATTAAACAATTAATTAATTCACCAATCCTTCTCTATATTGTTGGACCTTGTATTCTTGAATCCCATGTGTTCAGCATTCTCTTTGATGCTAAAACTGTTTAGCTGTCCTTTCTTTTAATACCATCTTTCCCCGAAATCTTTGTCTTTCTCTACAAACTCCTTAAGACTTTATTTTGTTCATTCCACAAATATGTCTAAGCAATTATTTTATGCCGAGTATTCTGGAAAGTTGTGGAAATTTCCATGAAAAAATAAAAACGTTTTCCCTTATTTGACAAATATTGAACAATTGGAGATAGTGAACAGCACAGATGCAACTATTGGGCCTTTCCCTCCCAGATGTAAAAATAGTGATGGAAGTTGAAAGACAAATGGATACAATGGGTCCTTCTCATGGACTGGTGGAGCATGCCAACAGCAGTCATATTTGGCACTGAGGTCTCCTCATTGTAGCAATAATCAACCATAGAAGATCAAAAGGGCAGGAATTGCCCAGGAACAAAATTCAGAGGGTCAGGAAAGAGGAGGAAATGAAAACAGGAAACACAAAGAGGAAGAGGGATAAGCTGTGGTATATCAGGGAATTGCAATGGACGAGTTAAATCAGAATGTGCGTGATTTGTTGAATGAATTGCTGAATGTTGGTCAGGCCTGTAAACCTTCACTTAATTCAGAGTAAGAAAGAAGTAAATTACAGAATAACAAGAAATGCTTCTTTGTATCATCACTTCTGATAAAGAAGCTTTGAGCAGGAAATTTGAAGAAAATTAGTATGTTAGTCATGAAAAGAATATTTTAGGCAAACATAGATGCTGTGATACTCCCCTGACACAGTAGCATTCCTCACACCAATGGACAACCAGGTGCACGGTGTAACTGATGTGCAAAAAAAGAATCTGGTTTGAGGGTGTAGTTAAAAGTGATAGGAATATGAGATCAGATGGCTCTGAGGTTTTAAAAGAGTCCAATATAAGGTACTTAGACATATATTATTTTAATATGTATTATTATATTACTCCACATCACAACATGTCCTATCATATTATACTGAGACCCTAGGTGGCACAAATGAGCAAGCACTTTCCTACTTGCTAAAAGATTGACATGCATCATCAATCAGAGGAACTTCTAAAGGCAAGCCTGGTGATCTGCTTCTCAAAGGTCACAGCCTTGGAAACCCTTTAGGCCAGTTCTACTCTGCACGTGTGGATTCATCCAGAGCTGGAATTGACTTGCTGACAGCGGACAGCATCAATATTGTTAAGTGTTCCAATGTAGTGTTATTTTTATTACACTAATATAATGTACATAAATGGTACATAATTCCATCTTCCACCAAAGTTACTCTTCTGTCAATTTATATCTGGTATAATATTTACCTGTTTGAGAGATTATATGGCAGCTTAAGGTGTCTGCTGAATTTGTATGTCATTACTCCTCCTACTCTCTCCACATTCATCCATGATGGTGTATTATGCCCCTGAGGCTGAGCCAAATCAAAAACAAAAAAGCACTAAAAAAAGTCAATTTCCCTCTCCTATGAGAACTGAGTTTTGTGGGTCAATAATCCAAAACTAGGTTTTTGGGTATTTCAAAGACCAGTAATCCCTTGGGCAGAGATTTTTCTTGCGGCCATCTTCTGCCATGTGATAGAAAGCCAGTGGAGGGGTTCGGGGAAAATGGCGACCCGATAAGACGCACCCTTCCAGAGCTCCTGCTGCCAGACCAGAAAATTGGGAGGTAAGGCCAAGGGAACGGGGAGGTCGAGTCCAGAAATTAGAACTAGGGTACTAGGGTCTCTCCTGAATCTCTTTTTTGTGTGTGATTTCCACTCACAAAGCAAACCAAGAACGCTTTAAAACAATCTAGCTTCTGCGAGCCAATGCGAGTGCCAGCTGCGACCTGGCCAGAGCTGAGGTTTCTCCCAGCTGACACCTTAAAGGGACAGCTCCGCCACACACAGGAGAACCCCACGCCAGAGCTCTCCATGCTGGTGGCTGCCCTGAGCTCACTGCCTGGGGAGAAGCGGTGGTGGGTAGCCATAATTTAGAATAGAAGAAAAAGCAGATTATTTCCTGAAGCATATCTCGGTGTGGGAGAAAATAAGTGGAATCCAGGGAGCGGAATCAATTCCAATTGGCTGAGAAGCAAACAACCCCCCTGATAAGCTGGATCTCACCCTCTGGGGACAAGCCTGACAGCTGCCAATTCAGAGCACATCACAAGTATTGAAAAATAAAAATAATAAAGAAGGTGAAATATATATTATTGGTTAATAGGCCAAGCAGCAGTCTGGTCTCAGCAGAGGCAAAGAGTACATGGACAGGGGTCCTTAACATAAATCAGCATATGAATTAACCTAGTTAAGGTTCTCCAGAACCCAGCAGCAGGGCCTGGAGGCTTTTCGCATAACAAAGACCCACAGTACCAAGCTTCAGTTTTAAACAGTACTGAGCTGCACACTAGAGACTGCGTGTCACAAGTTAATTTGATTTTAGTCTTGCTGACCAGGGGGATAAAATAAATAAATAAAAATAAAAGCCTCTGACCTAGAAGTAGGACACCAGCATCCTAGATAGGACAACAAGCCCAGCTTCCCTTCCAGTGACTCTACACATAGCTGGGGAGGCCCTGCCAGCCCTGGGGCCTTAGACCGGGCTGTGGGAACACCCCTCCCCCC